GGAGAAGAATGAAGGAAGGAGGAGGGGGGGACAGGTCAGTGGACAGAGAAGAGGCCTGAGAGGCCCAAGGGGAAAGCCACGCGTGATCCCCTTGCGCGTGGAAAGAAGGGAAAGGAGGAAGGTCACTGCTTCAATACTGGGGAAGAGAGAGAGGGAGGGGGAGAGAAATAGAGGGAACAGTTCCTGGCCTAATTTACTACTCTATTGAGGGAGAGAGGGGTGAGTTGGAGGGGGGGGGGGATAGTGCAACTTCCTCCTCTCCCCTTCCCTCCCTATTGAGGGAAAGAGGGGGTTGGGGGGGGATAGTGCAACTTCCTCCCCTCCCCTTCCCTCCCTATTGAAGGAAAGAGGGGTGGGGGGATAGTGCAACTTCCCCCTCCCCTTCCCTCCCTATTGAGGGGAGTGGGGTTGGGGGGGGATAGTGCAACTTCCTCCTCTCCCCTTCCCTCCCTATTGAAGGAAAGAGGGGTGTTGGGGGGGGGATAGTGCAACTTCCTCCCCTCCCCTTCCCTCCCTATTGAGGGAAAGAGGGGTGTTGGGGGGGGATAGTGCAACTTCCTCCCCTCCCCTTCCCTCCCTATTGAAGGAAAGAGGGGTGTTGGGGGGGGATAGTGCAACTTCCTCCCCTCCCCTTCCCTCCCTATTGAAGGAAAGAGGGGTGTTGGGGGGGGGGATAGTGCAACTTCCTCCCTCCCCTTCCCTCCCTATTGAGGGAAAGAGGGGTGTTGGGGGGGATAGTGCAACTTCCTCCTCTCCCCTTCCCTCCCTATTGAGGGAAAGAGGGGTGTTGGGGGGGGGGATAGTGCAACTTCCTCCTCTCCCCTTCCCTCCCTATTGAGGGAAAGAGGGGTGTTGGGGGGGGGGGGATAGTGCAACTTCCTCCCCTCCCCTTCCCTCCCTATTGAGGGAAAGAGGGGTGTTGGGGGGGGGGATAGTGCAACTTCCTCCCCTCCCCTTCCCTCCCTATTGAAGGAAAGAGGGGTGTTGGGGGGGGGGATAGTGCAACTTCCTCCTCTCCCCTTCCCTCCCTATTGAGGGAAAGAGGGGTGTTGGGGGGATAGTGCAACTTCCTCCCCTCCCCTTCCCTCCCTATTGAAGGAAAGAGGGGTGTTGGGGGGGGGATAGTGCAACTTCCTCCTCTCCCCTTCCCTCCCTATTGAGGGAAAGAGGGGTGTTGGGGGGGGGGATAGTGCAACTTCCTCCTCTCCCCTTCCCTCCCTATTGAGGGAAAGAGGGGTGTTGGGGGGGATAGTGCAACTTCCTCCCCTCCCCTTCCCTCCCTATTGAAGGAAAGAGGGGTGTTGGGGGGGGGATAGTGCAACTTCCTCCTCTCCCCTTCCCTCCCTATTGAGGGAAAGAGGGGTGTTGGGGGGGGGGGATATTGCAACTTCCTCCTCTCCCCTTCCCTCCCTATTGAGGGAGAGAGGGGTGTTGGGGGGGGGGGGATAGTGCAA